AATATACACGAAATTGCCACAATAATCGACATCGTGATCAGCGGAACGACTGTCAGACAATGGAGCAGATTACGCGATAGGGGCTTAACCGAATAGCAGCTAACTCGATTATGCGGCCATCCGTGATTGTGTTTGAGCCTATTAATGTTTGAATTTCGTTATATTATTGCGGCGTGTCGGTGCCGGCAGTAATCCAATATGGGTCCGCATTAACAAAATTTCGCGTCGAGCTGGCGACGACTACAGTCTCTTTAGTTCTAAATTAATGTTGATATGTCGCGTCTCACCATGTAAGGAATATTTATATAGGGACACATAAATAATTAAAGTTACTGACAAATATGTTTATGACCGTCATTGATATATTAAACTTTTAAAATAAATGAGTACATGATTAAAATAAAATATTTTAAATTTCGTCTATCCATATCGTATAACGGAAATAATTACTGTAAAACTTTTTTAATCAGCTGGAAACATAATTTCCTTCAAAGTAGTTATTCCTGCTATTACAATGTTCTGAAAAATATTCTGTACGTTCATCGTACCTCCGCGTGGGAACAAACGGCCCTTCACTTCTGGAGAACATGCACTGCTAGATGGGGTGGGTGTAAAGAGCCCGACCATCGCTAGATTAAAGACCAACTTAAAGGAAAGCAATCTGCTAAATAAGTACCTTTAAGTGATGTTGCGCGAAATGATGCTCTAGTATTTAAAGGCACGTTTTTGCATGAACTCTCGATGTAATGTTTATGTAAACGTTACAAAATTGAACTTTCTAGACATTTGGAATAAGATTCTGCATTAGTGTATATACAGCAATATTCATAAATAGGCAGATTACCAAAGATGACGTCAAAATCTGTGATATGAATACTATAGGCAGTTCCATTTCGCGCTATCCGCGATACGTCATTTATATATTATATATTTTACTCATTAGTACATATACAGCAATATTCATAAATAGTCAGATTACCAATGATGACGTCAAAAATCTGTGATATGAACACTAGTTCCATTTCGCGTCATCCGTGAAACAGTAATGAAAATTTATTTTATTTTCTTAATGATTGACATGGAAGCTATTTTTCTCAATTAATTAATTCCTTTTTAATTAATTTCTATCAAATTGTACTCTATTTAAAGGCAAATAAATATCTATTCTATTCTATTCTCTTTCTATTACTTTTTTTATTAAAATAATGCAAGAAAATTTCCTTAAAGAAGTCAAAAATGATCAGTTTAAGGCAATATTAGGTCATTTTATGGGAAATATTAGGAAAAGCTGATCAACTGAATGCTCGTCGATCAAAAGGTGCTATAAATTTAAGCTTGAAAGATCAGGATCTAGAAAAACATGGTTTTATTACAATCAACCGCACATCAGACTATACAAAACTGTCAATTTCCTTACTCGATTTTAAACCTTAATATATTGAGTGTAGAAGTGAACATTCAATGCAGCAATTTGACATATTATGGTAACCTACGTGTACATGAACCAGAACGAAAGTAAACAAAAAAAACGTAAAAACACGACTTCAAAAAGCAAAAAAGTGAAAAATAAAAGTTATCTTAAAGCTGTTCACATTAATTACATAAACCAACTGCCGTGTCTTGGATTTATTTTCTTGCCAAGTATTGTACGAGTATCTACAACATTAACTAATATTAACGTCGAAAAGGAAATAACCAGAGAGAACTAATTATGGTATTGTCAAAACACGATTCAAGCGATTTAAAAACACATAGAGCAGTTTTCAAGGTGATTGCTTTGGTTTGAGTTATTTAGCCTCTCGTCTCGTTACTTTAGCCAGTGTTTCCGCAGGTGTGGCAATCATATTGTCTCTCGCGCACCACTCGGAGGGGGTGTCTCCCTCGCGCAGTTTATTCTTTAATCTCGCTGATGAATTATGATTAGCGGAGTGCACTCAATCCTATTAGTGTTGTCTGAATGTTGCCGAAGATTTCTTTGCTTTTTTTTCGGAGATATACTTCTGGTTGCCTTGTATTAGTGTACAAGCAATGTTTATTATTATCTATATATTTATTAATAATTATACAATTCAGAATACTGTTGGTTGATACTTATATGTAATTTACTAACGTGTAATAACTGTAAGTATTTCAGTAATATCATCATATTTATTAAAGTTTAATTGTTTTCATTAATAAATTAATATCTGATAAAAAATTGATAAATATAGGTATGACTCAAACTGGCAACATAATTTGATATTTTCTGCCCTTTCTAATTTTTTATCTGACTCTACATATGTTCTGTGGATACTAGAGTTTTATAAGCTCTCCCATCTGTTACGATTATATGTATTTGAAGCTTGCGCTATCGGGAATTGTTCGGCTTCAACTAATTTGCCTTAATAAACTTACCTCAACTGAAATGCATTCGGTACGTGCATTAAAATTTCCCGACAGCCCGACAAAAACCTTTATGGGGGCGGTGGTTCAACGTTATGGCTCGCCGTGGGACCACAAACTCCGATTATCCAAACATGTTGCACCCGAAACGGGCGTTGTGAAATTTAAACGTGTAATTGATTATGAAGTTGGTCACTAATGGGCGAAAATAGTTTCTAATTTGGAATGGTGGTGGCAGACGTAATTGGACTCGGACTACGCCACTGTTAATCATTAACGTGCTGGACTTCAGGTCCCATGCGACCGAAGTAGCCTCCAATTTGACTGCAGCCATACTATCTGGATCTAGTTTTATTGTGACGTAGATTCATTGCATTAGATATATCAATAATCAAATTGAGTCTTATTACATGTTTTTAGAATTTTTCTTAAAAGAATTTAGTTGTTTTAAAATATCTAAAAAATCATCACTAGTCAATTAACTATGAAGAAGCTTGATATTTAACTTCTCGATATTGATCTGGTTACTAAATATCGCACTCAACTATAATAAATAAATAATCATCAGCTTATAATTGTCTTCAATGTTGATGCAAAGATCTTACCCAAGAATGGCAACTACTCCAGACTAATATGATTTGCAAGTTATTAACGAATACTGATGTAGCCGAAGTAATAACATAACCGCTTTCTCAAGCTCGAAAGAGGTAGAGGACAATAAAATTTCGGTCTTATATCTGATAACTAACATTCGTGAAAGTAGATTAGCTTCTACAATTGCAGATTGAATGTGCGAAGTACTGCACCACTGAGACTCTATAACGCATGAATAACGATTAAAAGCATCCAATTACTATGATTGTAGCTGTGAAACGGGTTCATTATTTATTTAGCATTGAAAGAATCGAAATAAAATCAAAATGTTCTATAACTAACACGTTATTCCAGTTCCACTTAGCTGTTCCAGTAATAATCCTCTTATCTCTTTGTTAGAATGTTGAAATTACAATCGTATAGTTTTTATTCGTTTCGACAGACGTCCGCCGAGTCCTAATTCGTGCGTATTGACATTTGGAAAGTCAGCGTTAATGGAAGGCGTGAGCTTTTTTGTTCTGCCGTCTAATCTCTGTGGCTGCATTCAGCACTGGTTGTTTTCCGAGTGGCGGCCCGTGTCGCTTGTCACCGATCGGTAATTATTCACGAAGGCTCGCGTCACGGACGAGACGCCAATGAGAGTGAGCTTATATCGGCGATTTGATAGACAATTGAAGCGAAACAGGAAAACTTGGGTCGATTGTATCTGTCAATCTGCACTAGAGCTTACAAAAGTTTAGGTTCGACTTTTACTGATTAAATGTACATTTAGCAAATAATATAATATTTTTCTGATAATTTATTATGATACTTCACATAACTTACTGCAATATTTATTTTGTAGTCATTCATTTATTATTTTATAATAACATGTTATTAAATATTAGGCAAAAATATTATGCAGCAATTAAGACTGAATAACTGACATTGAGTTTGAATATCTCACTCACAAAGGTCATAGAGGATTAACATATTTAAAAAATCCCCTTTGTTCCTAGTACTCTGAGATGGAAAGTGGATTTATTAAGTATTTTTCATTTAAAATATTTTTCAGTATAGCATTGTGAATGCAACATTGATCAAATATAATAAAGAGTAATCGTTTTTTTTACTTTACTACTACTACCACTACTAGTAAAATTTATAAAAAAGAAAGTTGATTCTTTTCGAGTGTGTCTTATTCGGTAGAAAATATTTTAGTCTTTTGCCGTTTTTATATAGTTAGAAAGTCATCCAAATTGTCATTTATCTATCCGTTTATTCGCTTCGCTCGTGATAAAACCGCTACTTACTGACTGACCACTTTAAAAAATGTCTCCCGACGTGCCGTAACGTAATACAGAGTACACTTAGCTGAGTACTCTTTGCGTAAGTTAGATTTACTTCAATGGTCATCGCAAATAATACTTATCCATTATTAACATTTACACATAAGCATTTTCGGTAATAATTACTTTAATAAATAATTCCATTGATCTTTATTACTGTATGTAATATTATTGGATCTAAAGTTTCAAGATTTCAATTTACTAATTTTGACATTTTCAACTTTCTTAAGTTATATGTACCTGACTTTACTATTGTAGCTGAAGGAGAAACTGACGTGTAACGTGAAAAATATTTGAAAATTGATAAATACGACCGCATTATTTACAGTTGCACCTCAACTTCAATCGCAGGTTCAATGCAGGATCAACAACTTCGTATTATACCCAATTTGAGCTAAGTTCAGTATGTTACGGATAAAATATTTTGATTCTTTTCAAATATCAACTATGAAAGTTGTTATCTGTTGTAATTGACTCAAAATATTAAATATAGTACACAAATAAAACTTTTAAATAGCTTTCAGGTTTTTTTGTATATTTTGTTATCCATTAGAACAACCTCTTTACATTGTACTTATATAAACAAAGTTATTACATATATTGATACAGAACAAGGGTGAATACGCATTTGCGTGATTTATAATCATTCATTAAAGTATTATGACCACTAATTAGCAGTTTCATGCACGCGTTGCAATGAAATATGAGATTCGTTGTACATATCAGCTTTTTGTGAGTGCACAGAAAAACAAATTGGCATTTTAAAACAATGTAATGATAAGATTTGTCGCGGTATCATTTACGGCTGCGCTGGGTAATGTATAAGGCAGTGCAGTTGATTAGCTTCCGTCGTGGCGTAAACAAACAGTCGTTGACACGATTTGGAGCGGTGCATGCTTCCGGTCAATATCCGTTCCCTATTATTTATGGCCGTCGATCGGACGCACTCTCCAAAACACACAAAAATGAGAGACGCGATCCATTCGTCACGCGCCTTACAATGCCAGCATTGTTCTACGAACGGTCTCCTAGTTCGCGTTTTTACCACAATTGAATGAAGTACATTATAGATATAAATAGGACACCGACCAGAGGGTGTATCGTGTAATTAATTCATATTACGCATTCTGTTAATTAAAGTATCTATGGCATCTAAATAGAGTTTAATATTAATATTATAAAAGAGGCCTAATATGATTAGATAAATCGATGGTGACAGATATTTCAATTGCTTACATTAACTGTATCAAAAGATGTTATTGAAACACCATTGATGCACTGATTTAGATACAGTATTTGCATCGTTAATTTTAGTAAATGTAACTAAAGGTCGTATTTAATTTTTTCAATTAACCGTGACCATTGCTCGCTCCGCCTTTATAGCTTACCGGTCATTTTTTCGACGACACGATCTCAATTACTGGGTGTTTTTTCTTTATGCTATTCATTCGATATTTAGGGTACATAATTTGCTATAGTTCGAAAACGGCGGGTCGTGTTTCACGTTCTAATTAATCGCTTGAGTAGTTGTGCTAATTTTTTCGAAAAATATTACAGGCGATAAATTTCATGGTGCTGGATTTTATGCCGAAACATAAAACTTGGTTATGAATTGTCGCACTATTCTTAGGTGATTGCTTTAACTTGTGGATATTTACTGATAGGGCATATTACTTTAACTTTAGCTCTTCAATGGTGTTATTATTTTGCACTCAATTAATGTTTTTCAAAAGTACCTATCTAAAAAACTTCAAATTTAAACTTAACTTATTTAAGAATTATTTAAATCGGGTTGAGGTTTTCTGTAATTTAAGTAAATATTTACCACTTTTAATTAAATATTAACCACCCAACTTCAATGTTTATTAAAAAAATTAACCGCTTTTAAGATAAGTATTATTTTTCACTTTTTTAATTTGAAGTCGGTTCCATTTTTTTAACAAAAAGATTTTATTTCATGCGTTCTAGTGATATTTTGAGTTTTGAAAACATCATGCATTCTTAGTGCAAACTTAAGACTTATATGGTTTTCTCATAGATGCTATTGCCAGATCTGGACCAATTAAAATAGGACCAAACAGCAAGCACTAACTTTTAAATAAAGAAGGAATCGTCAAAATCGGTGCACCCAGTAAAAGTACAGTCGAATTAAGAACCTCGTCCTTTTTGTTGAAGTCGGTTAAAAAGGAATATTAAACATGGTAGTTTTTAAAAGTAGACATCATATTTCTTTAGATTTAGTTAATATTGTAAAATGCATTTAAAAACACCGCAAATTATTTGGCGTGAATATATATTAATTAACCTTCCGCAAAAATATGTATGATTCAATATATGATTTTACTTGCAGTGCGAGAGGCGAACGCCGCAACAGGCGAGCGGCGGTAGTCCGGGCCTCCCCCATATGTTAGCCATGGACGTCACCAAGGAGGCGCGCGCGTCACCCTTGCCGGCGTCTGCGCAGCAACCGTCAGCGTCCTCGGCGCAACCACCACAACCTCAGGTAGCTACCGGGTATATACATGAACGATGGCTGCAGCATGGATTTTACTCTAAATAAGCACAAATTAATAAAGCTATACATTCACATGATATAACTTTAGATATATACGTATCTTAAAAACTTTATAAAGTCTCTTCAATAAAGACAGTTTTTTAAGGGTAGTAATGCTGTCGATAGAAATTTATAAGGGAATAAAATATTGTGTTGAAGACTGTAATGCAGGATATTGTTAGGTATTGTTTGACATTTTAAAACAAATCATCTATTGATAATTTGGGTTAATAATGCCCGCTTTAGCATAGGTTCTTCTGTATTATAAAAGAAAATAAAGCATAAGCTTTGTAATCATAAAAATCTGATTTTGAAAATATGAATATTTTTTTCCTTGGTAAAAGAAATTATTCCTTTTATCGTTACACAGATATGCGCTGGATGCAGTAAAGTAATAACGGAGCGGTACCTTCTGAAGGCTCTGGACCAGCTATGGCATGAGGATTGTCTTAAATGTGGCTGCTGCGACTGTCGCCTCGGTGAGGTTGGCCACACGCTCTACACTCGAGCTAATCTCATATTGTGCAAACGAGATTATTTGAGGTTTGTTATAATATAACCTTTCATGTATTTATTAAAAAACCTATTCAAATGTGATCAAAAATAAATAATTAAGAGTTGTGTGTATTAAATACAACAAATTCAAAGTGCAAGCATAAATAAGTAACAGTTCTAAAGATCCTTTTCGGCGTTATAAAAATAACAAAGAATTATCAATTTTGATAAAAAGAATTCAACTCAATATAATGAATTTCTAAAGAAAATCCGATGTTTCATCGCGGTAAAAGGAATCTGATGTAATTTTTATGTGTAATATCTGCACAAAATTATATGATGACGTGAAATAAGACAAACAAACACACTTCATAATATCAGTATGGATACCATAGTATAATATAGATCCGTAAAGTGCTGTTTTTCTCGAGATTGGTATTTGGTCATTTTGTTCCTATGGTTTTTAATAATCTCTATATTGTTATTATATTAAAGTATCTATGCTCTAGGTATAACAAAATAAACATTATATAGTATGATATACATAATATCACTTAACTATTACTATCTACTATTTACTATTGATATAACCAGTTGTTTTCATGTGATCTATCCCGCGTAAATTATAGCCTCATAGCACCCGCGTAAGATTTAGATTCTCATAGGTGAAAGAATTTTCATGGTCGTATCAGTTTTCCGAAGATCACAAGCATAAACAAACAAACCTTAAATCTCTTTATAATATTAGTAGAGACACTCTAATGTATGATGATGTAGGTAATATTTTCTTGCACCTGTAATCTGGAACTTAATGATGATACGCTAACTTATTGCATGACATTAGTTTCACTACACTAAAATTTGTGTCATGCGCATATTTTAATGTGTCACACAACGAATTTCAACACGACTCGAATTGCTAAACTGTCGCAACACCATCTGCGTACAATAAAGATTCGATGTTGACGGAGTCTGTGTTTCATAGATACTGTTGATTTCTAGCCTTTATAAAATCAGTTTCCCATGTGTTGTAATTAGTTTCATGAAACTTGTTTCATCTGCATTATACTAATTTAGTAATTAAAATTCGGCTTAAAATAATATGTTAATTTAAAATGTGTATATTTATCGCAGGTTATTTGGAAACACCGGGTATTGTGCGGCGTGTAACAAGGTGATACCTGCATTTGAGATGGTGATGCGAGCTCGTAGCAATGTTTACCATCTAGAGTGTTTTGCCTGCCAGCAGTGCAATCATAGGTGAGTTCGAGTGGACAGAATAATTTAGTTGAATTTTTATTATTGTTCATGATATTCCATTGATATGATATGTATGATATTTTGACTTACGAACAACAGTAGATGGTAACTACAAAGAACCTACACAGCAACCAAACATTTAGAGGGGATAGATTAATTATTAATGTTATATTATAATTATGTATTTAATATTTGATAAATAAAAAAATAATACCCAAATATTGCGGTATCAAGAATTTATAAAATTTTCTTGATAGAAAAATGTCATCTAAGATTCTCATCCTTTCCTTTTTTACTGGCTTTGTACCTTTTGTTAATAATTACTTGATTCACTTTATATTCGAGGGAAATATGAAGCATTTTTACAATAGTCGTAATAGTTGGCGAGTAATTAATTCAAATCCGTTCTTGTGGTGTAATATAACATTTTCTGCCCCTATTTATGGCAAAATGAAATAGTCAGGGACAGGGTTTTGGCTTAACAATATATAACATTTTCTGTCCCTATTAACATCAAAATGAGATAGTCAGGGACAGGCTTTTAACCTTCAAGGCTTAACACCTCTTCTTATTTATTTTTTTACATCACATTACATTTTATAAATGGAAAACATTATACGATAAATTGCAGTTTTTTTTTATATATGATAGCGGAAGCTAAGTATTTATTTATTGTTTTGCACTCGACAAACAACGGACCGGTCAATAGTCTATGCAAATTTTAATCTGAAACAAATCATAGTAATTGTTTCTATTGTTATGTGCTGCGGGCAAAATAACAATTTATCTGAACGCATGTGGAGAATTTTGCAATTACCGAGCTGGAGCGTTGACCAGGGGTCTTTTCCTGGTCGGAATTAGTGCACAGAGTTTTTACACTACGTTAAATAAATTTAATTTGACTTGTATTATATTATTACTTTGACGGTTATTTTTTTCTTATTTATTTTCAGTGCATAGTAAGTAACATTTAAAATAATAATAAAAAAAACACATAACTATTACCCATTAATATTTTTCCTAGACTTATCAAAATATTCGTCGCTAGTTTAAATTTCATAGTAGACATAATAAATAGTCTTTTGAAAAATATTCTTAATGAAAAATGCTTTAAAAATCCACTTGTTACTTTTTCACTACTACACAGCGTATTTTTATCAATGTTCAGGCAATCCATCCAAATAGCCGAAACAATTTTTTTTACAAATATTTAAACATTCGATAACGATGTTAATTTGTTCTATTTTTAGTTGCTAGAATATTCTTAATGAAAAATCCTAAAATGAAATGTATTTTTCATTAAGAATATTTTTCAATATTGTGAATGCAAAATTGATCAAATATAATAAATAGTAATTTTTAATTATTTCAGAATAATTTCCCCACATTTGTTGACTTAGACCTTTAGTTGGTTAATGCTTTCAACATTCATATAAAGCTTTATCTTTATTAATAAATAAAATACACGAGACGTGACGATTCAAATAACCGACTTATTATCTTGTCATATTTTACGAAAGATATATTCCATTTAGCTTGTAGAGAAAAAAAGCGAAAAAATATGAAATTGCAATTAATTGTTTATTACTCCAAACATTGTTTTAAAATTGCAATTTGATAAAATAAACATAAATTATTACTAGTTTCAAAAGGCACGTTTTCTTTCTTTCGTTTTATTCTTTCCATTCGTTTTTAATCGATTCCATCCAAAATTAAGAGAATGAGGAAATTAATAGGCTGGTAATATCGATATCGTTACTAGTTGCTATATTAATTATCGAAACAAAAATCTAATACTTTTAGCTGTACTATTATTTAGTTGATATAAATTGTAGTGATAATTCTAGTATTTTCTCGCTTCATTTTACCGGACTGGGTACTTCCATTGCTAATCTTTAATCTCATATGTCAAACGTGGTTGCGCCACCGGAATCAGAATGGGGACCGGCTATATTGAATCCGAGTCAACAGGGGACTCTTCTGAAAAGAAAGAGAGAAAACATATAAAAAATGTCAAGTGTAAAAAGAACGTAATATACTTGTAGCGAGAATGTGTATTGTTTATTCATCTCACGGCAGACAAAGAGTACGATTAAATTTTCCGCTACATAATAAAAGCACACGAAAGAATGGAAACGTATTAGCTTTTAAAGTACTTTATGCAATAAGAGAAGATTGGTTACAGTGCCTTTTTTGGGTAACAATTACAGACAAATCAATAATAATATATATATAGAAGTACAAAACTATTGTTACTCTTATGTTATAAGTAAGTTACGAAAGTTTAACATACGTTTATTATACATAACAATATTTTTTAAATTTCCATTTGCATGAAAAGTTCTGATAAATCTAGACATACCTACTATAAAACAAAGTGGTTTTTTGTTGTCGGTATGTTGGTATTTTTAAAATACCTATTCAATTTTAATGCAGTCCTTATACAGAGTGATGAGTGATGGTGACAAGACGAAGGTGAATGTATAATACAGGACCAAATACTTATGTATTTGATAATAAAATTTATTAGAATAGGCTGCATTTCCTCTTTCAATTAACTTACTCATAAATTTAAAAAAAGTCTGAAAGAGGTTTTTTACAATTAAATACCATTATCGTTAATGTAAATAAATTTGGAACTGATAAATATCATTTCAACAATATAATAAAAAGTTTCTACTACATATTTTATTCAATCCAATCTTTTCTTGCAAAAAGATTGTCACAATGCTATTAGATGTCTGTATTCTGGAAAGTTATTCTGTTGGGCAAGATTTTTATTTGAAGTGCAATTTTCATACAGTTTTAGATTTTTTATGTATAAAGGAAAGGAAATGATAAAATTAACATGGCCATCTGCCTTAGCTACGTGCAATGTTACTAGTATTATGTCAAGCCGGATAGCTGAATATTTTTCTTATAAAAATAACGTCAGGACCTCCTCTTAGAGGTAATCCCCAGAATAATAATAAAAAATCCAGTACATAAACGACATCAAAGGCTGGTTAAAATGTTGAAAATAAAATACTATGTTTTGTAAATTACCCATGTATGGCATGATAATTTATTTATTGCTATTAAGTAGAATAAATTATCATTAACATATTAAATAACATATTGGCAATATTATTAAGTATTATAAACGATACTGACTTGAGAGTAAATACTTGCATGCATGCATGCAGGAGTCAATCAAACTGACCTATTATTTTATATCTTCTGTGATAGACAATAAAAAAACGAATACATTTTTTTCTTACTTTTTAATAGTTTAATAATGTCATAGTTTAATTTAGCCATATAGTTTATAAAAATATGTGTTTTTTATTTAAGTGAATTAAGCATCCAGTATCTTAATTAATTTTATCTAACAATTAACGAAAGACCGTTTAAGAATTCGAGTCTTGTTAAAGAGAGTAAACGTAAATAAACGGTTTTTTTTTAATAAGTTTCCAATCCAAAAGTAATTTAAGTCTTCAATAATATTTTATTATTTTTATGTTTAATCTGATTATTGTTATTTTTATCACACTAATTCTGTAATACTTGCATTTTGAATCCCTTTCAAATTTCTTTAGAAATTTTCCAATACTTAAAAATAGTTTTTTAACAAATAAAAACATAAAAAGGATTTCATGTGAATACAATACTACAGAATATGGACGGCAATCTTCCCGGGCCGCGTCCGTCTAAATAATAGAGAGGCGCGAAGATTGGTACCTCTCGGGTGGTTTATTCGTCGCCAACGGACCTTTCCACTGTTAGCAGGCGACAACTCTTCCCAATTATATATTCATTCGACGGTCCCTCCGATCCGAATACAACGGTTGAATAACCATTTTGGACACAGCATTCTAGATTTGATTGCTGTTTTGGACTTGGACAAACAAGTTTTCTTGTGTTATTATTCGAAACAAAAATTCGAATTGGCTGTTCGGAAACACGAACAAGTCTTTATAGATATTGTAAAATATTGTCGTAAAAACTTTGTTCGAGTTAAAAATTTGATGAAACAAAAGATTGCAGTGTAATTACATAGTCATTACTCTGATATAAATTATGCTAATTATTCGTACCAAATTATAGATAGGCATCGGTATTTGCTTCGGTACTACTAAATTTGCACGACTAATATACGTGTTTACCGACGACTTACCGCGCTGGTTATTAAATATCACGTACAAATCAATTTCCACGGGCGGCAGAAATCTGAATCCAATTTGCAAGCTGTCCGATCGTAGCGGACGAACAGATATCACTGGCGAATATCGCTAAACGGCTAAATAATTTAGTGGCAATCTGTGGCGCTCGCGGCTTCCGTTTCGCCACACCCGACTGCCGTGCTTTTGCATGCTAGTGACGCGAACTGGTTTCGTTTATACAAAATTTACCATTACTCATATAACGCCAGATATAACAAAATTTTGTATAGATAAAATTGTCATAGATGACAGTGACAAATTTAACTAGGTATATGTTATTGTCAAATTATAGATCTTTACTTATAAATGTATAAACTTATTTAATATTGGAAATTGTCATAGCATATTATTATATTTCATTGATTAGATATTTGAAATAGTTATATAAACAATTTGTTATATATTTTGTAACTTGTAAACGTAATAGTTATTAGGCAAATAATTATCTTGCAATCTGCAGCTCTCCCAACTTCCGTTTTATTACACCTGTCTGCTATAATTTTACATGTTTTTAATAAGAAAAACATAAATACTCACCTATTCAGCCGGGAAACCAAGAATTCTTACTTATTAAATGAATATACTAAAGATCATTTTATTATTTCGAGTTTTATCTTTTTTTTGTTAGTTTACGACAGCCCTATTATTACTATCCACCAGTCAGATGTTTCGTGAACCGTGAGTCATAAGCATGAACTTTGACGTGCGTATTTCTCTGTGCTCCTGACAAATTTAGTACGTCTGTTACCGTGTTTAATTGATTACGAGATTTCCGCGGAAACGCGAGACTAAATCGCATTGTCCATGAATATTTAGCAGTTCCGTGTCCATTTTAGTTCAATTCGTATCTGATGAGTCCATGAAATTTAGATGCACATGAAATATTTGAGAATCACATAGAAGCCTTTAGGGGAATCGGTGCTTTCAAATGCTATTGTTTCAGAAGGGTGGTATAGTCAATAGACAAGTAAAAACGTCAAACTCGGCGTCGCTATCGCCCAACACAATAGCGATCTGTACAAAGCTTTACTTGCGCAGTCATTAAAATTTCGTTCTACATCTTTTCCATTACGCGGTCGCAGACAAAAAATAGGAAAAAAAACAAAAAGGACAACTCCCCAAAAACAAAAGTCGGGAAACAGAGAGAACAGGAAATAAAGTTAATTAAGAGCGGCGAAATCGACTGAGTTGCGGTGGAAATTGGCCCCTTAAAAAAGAGACATTTGTAGCGGAGCTATTGCGCTTAATTTTTGTGACAAGTGAAACAAAAGAGTTGGCAGGGTGGTCGGAGACGGGGTGGAAGACGAAGCGGGGAGCGAGGGGGGGTAGATAAGGTCGTTGTTATCACCACCGGTTCCGGGCGGCCAGTGGCGAGTCGAAGGCGATACCTTTTGTTTTGCCACATTGAGGGATGCGCGCTCGCGTGACGTTATCGCACCCCTCTTCACGCTGACCTTTCAACTTGTGATAGTAAATTTTATTTCTTAGACATTTCACTGTTTCTCCTTCCGATTAAATCTAAACCTCGGGGATTATATCGATCGGTGTACGTTACAGTCTGCAATATATAAAACAAATAGGGTATCAGTAATTTGATTTATGCAAGCCGGCCTCGATGCGTAGGTCGTTAGTATTTGCCGTGAGTTCCATGAAGAATCGTTAATTGGATCTATCTGCAGCCGGCCCACTTTTTCAGTGAATCAGACTTGTGCAGCGGCTGTAATGCGATATTGTACGCTTTTGAATTGTTTTCCTGACCTAAATTTTAGCAGAATAAAAATATGTATATCAATGCTATTGATTATATGTGTATGTTGAATTTCAAGTAAGGAATGTTGGATGGAACTTATTATTTAAGAATCGTTCTATTACTTCTTATCGGTAGCGGTACTATTTATGTTTATAATAATATATCACATATGTGTTATAATATTTTATAATTCCTAAAAAAAATTAATAATTAGTATTTTTTAAGTACGAGTATATATTTGTTTTATAATAACATATGCCTAACGACTGAATTTTTGTTTTCTCCAAATAGATTTTGCGTAGGCGATCGTTTCTACCTTTGCGAAAATAAGATACTCTGCGAATATGATTACGAGGAGCGGCTCGTCTTCGCTAACATGGCTTACAACCCTCCGCCGCTTGCGCACTTGAAACGGCAGACTACCCATCTACCTCCACCACCGGTAAGTATTTGTTTTAGGGACCGTTACATTTTTGTTATCAAAAGCTTAAACTACAACAAAATTATTCATACGAAGACTAGGCGGTGACATTTTGTTATCGTGACTATTGTTTCTGTCGCCGTCTCCTGTCATTTGTATGGAAGTCACCTAGTTGTCACGTGTGCACATTACGGTGACATGGATAGTGACAAAAAGTCACCAGAGCTCGCGTATCTCTGTGTTTAAAAGCACCTTTGTTTAAAAAGAAATAGACAAAGTAGGTAGACAATAATTGAAAATGAGAAATTATTAAGTGCCGTTTAATTACCTCGGAATCTTACTATTTCTGATTTAAACTTTCTAAGTAGTTTTCAATGCTCGCGATGTAAAGCACCGGCAGTGTTATTCTATTAAAAATACAGCGTTGATTGCAGCGTCGAAAAATAGAAGTTCAGTTCAGAGGTTCAAATAATCCTTTATTACTTTTCAATGTCGGTTGTAATTATTCATATATGTAATTTAATACTTTATGCATAATAGTACAAAAGCGGATGCATAACTAAATCGGATTTAAATGTAAAGTTACGACAACTCCGTTTTCAACTTTACGTTTGATAATGTATTTTTATCAAAATTGTAACGGTGATTGGTTAACACACTGACGTTATGTTTTTAATGTTGTGTTGCTATATTATAGCTATAGAAAAGCGAATCTCTTCTATATGGAATCCAATAAATCATCGATACTTTTTCATCAACAGACGAGCAACGCGATGGGCGCCATGATAAATGGTTCAAGTCGTGCTGGCGATTTGAACAACAATATGTCAGGTGCATCGCCGGCCCCGTTTGCACCGCCTCCGCACCTCAAGCCCCTTGGCCTGTCCGCGTCCAGCTGAGACTACCGCGTCTGAGATTCGGCCCATCCGTACGCAAAGTACCAAAACTAGACGCGTGTGCTATGCCGTGGACGCTTACAGTGACGGTAGTGTAGGAGACACGATACGCTAACTCGGATTATACGTGGACTTATCGGACATGCTACTTGCTAAGTGTAGTTAATAAATGCAAAGTAAATGCCAAACTGTAGTTAGTTCACATTGATTGTTATTATACGTAATATAGTTAATCCACGTGTTCTGATTCATTTTAAGACAACTTATATAGGAATTTGTGGTTCGCATTCAGACTTGTTTAACACGAACTGTTGACTTGTTACACTGGTTTGTCTGCATTTATTATATTAGTTTCATAGACCTTATAATTTGATCTCAGACAGGAAATTTGATAATATAAGAGTAAAGGTGTGACGATTGCTACCTAGTAATATAATATTACTGGTTGATTGATACAGATAGAAGGTCGAAAGTGTATCTATTAATTCGATAATGAAATAGGTCTTTGGCTCTTTGCACGTGAATATAAACTCACTCTCGTTCACTGTTTTTAAAGTGCGCGTTAAGGTAAATTCACATTGTAAAGACAGTATCGGGCTCGATAATGGAGTCCTATGCTAGCGGGTTATAAGACTGGTTGTAGTTTCTCATTCGCAATATCAGACTCCAATAGGAGTGTATTATTAAAAACAAAAGAACATGGATGTTATTGTACATATGAATTTTGAATTAAATCTAGTTGTAGTACAAGGCGATTCTTATTAAATTTAAGAAATGTCACTTTAAATATATTTCCCAAAATAAAATTTGGATTTTAGTTACAAAGGTCATTGAAAGATTAAAATATATTTTTAGTGACGAGATTTGATGGAATAGAATGATATTCTTTCATGTTAATTATTATTTGGCTTAGCCGATTTGGAGAATTAAGTACCTATTTTCAGAATTCTCTCTTTGTTATTTGGTTTTGAACTTATGATGTATATTTATTGTTAAGTTTACTGTAAACATTGTTGTAATGTTTTGTATTATTTATGTAAATAAAATTCTCTCTGTAAGTAGAATATTTGTAACTAATAAATATCAGTGTATTTGATTCAAATAGTAAAATGTGAATATACTTAAGTATTTCCTAAAGTATATGACTCGGAATAGTTCAAACTACATAGTTTCTTGTACGATTTTAATTGATTTTCTATAATTTGAAATAGTTACAGTTTCCAACTATTTATTGACACGCCTTGTCCCTATATTTGATTAATATTTGAACGTGTTAAGAAAATTTCAATAAAAATGATAGGTACTATATGTACTTTATACGCCACGACTTTCTTTCGTTTATTAAAATAATTAAAACACTTTTCTATTTGGGAACTGTACTTTGTATCAATGAGACCTCTTATTTTCATTTTGTAATATTTATCAGAATAGTTCAATTCACATTTAAGAAAAAACAGTGCAATGTTATAGAAAATGAGCAGCTAATACAAAACAGAGGACTACCTACTATCGTTAAATAAAACCACTATCTATATTTTAAGAATTCAATTAACATGGTCATGATGTAATAGTATGGATTCATCTTTTTATTTGTACGAATAAGAAAAAAAGAATAATGTCTATGTTTTCAACTTTATATAATTATCTAATGTGGTACGATTTTAATACACAGTCTTACTATTTAGAAAAAAATCAGCAATTCTCTTCTATCGAAAAACATTCTCGAAATCCTCATCGAGTGCAGTGCTAGCACTCTATGGGGCTTCAATTAAATAAAAACTTAATTACCTTATGAAATAGGTTTTATTTGATTAAACTTCTATTAAACTAACGAAGCACTATCGTAGCATACTACGAGTGACAGCGTTAACCACGAATAAAACCTTTATTATCCTTTAAAGTCCTTTTAAAGTTTATTACAGAATACCAAAAATAAACGGTATAAAATAACGTTTTTTAGAAATTAATAAAGTTTATTTAAAGTAATAAAAATTTGTATGATATGAATGTGGTCCTCATTATACTTTAAATCTTATTGTTTTTTTTAATCCATTTATGATGTTATTTCAAATCGAAAATATTATCAATTGTCATTTTTATGTATTTTTATCTTACATCCTTATGTGCACAACTGTAGTAAATACACATTTATGTAGAATAAAATAAATGTGTCTGGTTCTTTTCAAACCAATGATAACGACCAAAGATGTAGCTCATTAAAGCCTTATCCAAAACTAAAATGAATTTTATTTCTGCATCCTTGAATTGTATTTTTTAAGTAATAATTACAGATGATATCGCTGATACCATCTGTAAGAGAGAGCTAAAAAAATAAAGTCCAGATTAAAATGATAACATATCGTAATTTATAAGCACTTACAAATAAATCAATAATTCATAAGGTTTTAAGAAGAGGTAATTTCCAAGGTAAATTTAAACACTAAGTTTTAGGAGACGGTACTCCCATAGAACGACTTTAAATTTATTCTTGGCATTGGATATTATTTGATACGTGAACTTCTAAAATCTTTTATGGTCTGAATATGTAATTATAAAAAAACTTACCACGTTTATTTATAATTTCATATGGTAGAAAACATTTTTAAACCACATAAAAAATATACAACTGAATTAAAACTACTGAATCGTTAGGAGTACGCATTTTCACGAACCGTTCACCTACGCCTAAACAACGCTAGGTTATAAAACTTCAATAATAGAAAACATTGATCAAATTAATAACAAAATGGTAAACGTAATTTGTTTTGAGTGTAATTTATTTTTGCAAAAATATTAAATCAATCACTGCCAGATAGCCATAATAAATTCTACTCGCATAATACGTCTCAAATACGAGACATTGATTCGTCTGTTCAGCTTATATGTTAAATTGTGTCTCTAAATTATATTTTTACTGATATTTATGATTTATATTTTATTAGACGACTTGATTAACGTAGTCGCAATAAAACACCATCTCGATAACTTTTACACTTCCCATAATCACAGTAGTATCAAAATATGTCAGATAATTGTTGTTTATGTGGTGTTACACTTATATACTTAATAACAATTACACTTAATTTTAAAATTGAGTAGCATCTGTGATCATCCGGTGATGACATAATCATCATCACTTCAGCCGAGAGACGCCCACTGCTGGGCATAGGCCTCCCCCAAAGATCTCCAATGTCCTGTGCCTCCCGCATCCAGCGGCTTCCCGCGACCTTCACTAGATCGTCGGTCCACCTTGTGGGTGGCCTGCCAAGAAGACGATTTTCAATACTTCTCTATGGACTGTTAAAAGTAATTGCCACCACTAACGAAGATCTTTCGCATATTTTTAATTGGAGCCGATGACATGGTCTGAAGTTAACTCACGAAAATCTTAGGCAATACCGCAATATCTTAAAGAATGCCTCGTTTTTCATTCTCTTAATACGCTCCGAGATTTGAGGTCTTCCCATAACTCTCCTTAGTGATAATTAGAGGCGTATAATTAGTAGCTCGGTGGCGTAGTATATAAGAGCCGCGGCCCGCGATTGTTGTCGTTAAGCAACTTTCGCAAAGGTCGGTCACGGGATAGGTGACCAAAAATTATTATCTCGAGCTACTCCGTGTTTCGGAAGGCACGTTAAGCCGTTGGTCCCGGCTGCATTTGCAGTCGTTAATACCCTCCAATCCGCATTGGGCCCGCATGGAGGGTCATGGCCCATCCCCCTTAACCATCCATAAGGAAGGCCTGAGCCCCTGCAGTGGGGACGTAGAAGGGCTGATGATGATGATGATGATGATGAATCACTTTTCATCAATCACTCTTTTGTTAAACAAGTCAAGTAACATTTTCTCAAGGTCGATTCATCTTCCTGAAATCGTATTCTGTTTTGTTTTTTTTTTATTTGGTTAATGTTTGGTAGAAGTATATGTATGTTTACTTTTGTAAATGTTCTTCATTCTTCAAGACACTAGCTCACAGTTTCTTTACTCACTCAGTATAGTTTATTTTAGCCAAAGGTAGCTTAGTCGAAACTGCTACCTTAGTAATCAGGGTGAGTTGTACGTTGTGGTAATGTTTCACTGTACAAGAGATAGTTTGGATATCTTCCAAGCTCAACATTACAACATAGCAAAATCGAATAGAAATCTAGAAGCAAAGATAATGTAATAAAAATGAGAAGAAAAAGAAAAATGAAGCAATCAACGACAAACCAGTAGTGTCGTACTCGGTTAAAATCAAATAAATGAAAAAGAGATCACAAAAATGTAAGGTCAAGAAAAAGAAGAAAATTCCAGTTTTCTGCCTGAAAAACTAACATAAAAAGGATAAGAATTCACATGCGGTCAATCAAACAAAATAACCTAATAGTACACTATCCGATAAGTCTATTAATAAAGAAATGTATCTAACAAGACATTAAACGTAAGCGAAGAAATACAAGTCAATAAAATAAAAAATACCAATAACAAGATTAAACGAAAAAAATTGTAGAAAAGAAAAAATATGTATTGAAACCATGTTGCGCAGAAAATTGTAAATTAACTGACTTATTTTTAAAGACATTTTATCGTCTATAATTCGTACTCTTTGTTCTCATACTTAAATCTGTATAATATGTTTTCATACTTAAATCTGTATAACGGCAAGCTCATGCAACTAACAGTTGTACCTAATTTATAACTCAGTTTACAACATACCAAGTGTTATAATGAATAACTAAAGATGCAGCAGGGCGCGTTACAGTTTTTGTGTGAAAAAGTTATAACGCCTAACTAATTTGTTTGCCTTAACTGCTACACTACTTATAAATTAAAAATATTATATTTTTGTACTTTTGTAGAAACATGAATAAAATATAAAATGGAAAAATTATAAAAATATTTCTGTCTAAAACAGCGTTAGAGACCAAAACCTTTAAAAATTTCAAAGTCAATTTACTCAAAATAGTGTTTTATGAAATGCAGGAGATGTGCTTGATACGGCAGTACTCGTTAAACTACCATACAGTGACTACGAGCGACTACTTTTATTCCACCAACCTAACAATACGAATTTCAATACTACCACTAACAAATCTCTCTAAACTGTATAGGGCGATTTTTTTTCTATGAAGTTGCGACAGACTGGTAGTTTTATATTTATACTAATTCCTAGATAGATCAGCTATTCTATTTTGTTAAAAAGAGCCTCAAGCTAGATAGCAAGCATAGCACTGCTACGTCATAGAATTTCAATGAAATAAAACCTTTACCTAATACCTTTCGAAGGCGGTTTTATTTGATTGAACATCAATGGTATGACAGGTCGACGTCAAATCGTGCTGACATACTTGACATACGCAAATAAGCCATTAATGAAAAGAAGAAGAAAAGAACTAGTGTTCTACACGTTCCGTTGCTGATATCACTCTGAAATTATATTTTTTATGAATATTTATTTTTTTGTTATTTCAAGTGCAAATGCTAAGTCAAAGTAACAGACAAAATTTTCTTTATTGAATTTGGTAGTGTGCAAGTATACGATGATTTTCAGTTTATAAAGAAATTATATACTAGTCGATGGGTGAACTAAGAATATTTATATTTAAAATGTTTGTTTTTTAGTTTTTTTTTATCTAGATGTTAATGGAACATCGACCATTCGACCACACATTTGTCCTATAATAAGCAGAAGCTAAAGTGCTAGCTACAAAATCAAGATACTCGTTCCTTCTCGTTTCTTCGAGAAGATCGACCCTAAGTTCAGATCAGATTTGTGGTTTGACTGGTTTGGTCAATATATCGTCATTTTTTTTAACATAGACAAAGAAATTTCTTTTGTCGTCATTACTTATCCTTGCACGTTCGCTGAAGCGGCTGTTTAAAAATATGAACTGCCTTTAAGATAAGTATTATTTTTCGCTTTTTTGAGGTATTTTGTTTACTATGACGTTATAAATATGTTGACTCAGTTATTTTGATAGAAAACAAAAGTGATTATCGGATTTCGATACAACTGATATGGGATCCCCCCAGAAAATAGTCAACAATTCCTGAAGATACCTACATAGAAAAATACATACTAGTGGAACATAGAAGCTTCTCCTTTTTGAATTCTCCTATGTAAACTAAATTGATTTGCTTCAACTTATTTTTCACTTTAGATCAGTATACTTATCATCACTTAAATTTGATATATTTTTTTTAATTAGTATAATAATTAATAACCCAAATGCTGTTTTAGACAGAAATAACCTTATAGTAAAACGGCCTACTCAACAATACCAAAAACAAAAATTGTCATTTTAGGATAGATCTGGCTTCTGAGACTCATTTCATTAATATGTTATCTGGTAAATGTAGTAATAAACATTTTCAACTCATTACAAGAAAAAAATAAAGCAAATCAGAAATCTCAGGCTCTCGATAGAAATCTCTAAGGCAATATTGTCATCGATACCCCGCGTACTGGTGAATTTCCGATTGAACAAAACGCACAATAAAAAAGGTCAATGAAAGAAAAACACTATCATTTGAGAGGTGAACGGAAATTTGAAAAGGTCCTCGCGGTGTGCCATAATAGGGACCAGAGCCTTGTATCGAGGCATAAAAATGTCGACTGGCGAACCATTGCCGTATTCACTGATAGCACCTGCGAAATGTATACCTTATGAACTCAAATGTAGAGTCAGCAAAACAATTAGTTGATATTTTAAGGCCTATACTACCGAAAAAGTAATAAGTGCTTGAAAGATCCGTCAGTCCTCTTAGGTCCTGGGTAGCATAGAGGTTAGAGCAGTCGCCCGAATTGCGAAAGGTCATGAGTTCGAATCCCATCTCAGGGTGCCAGAGGATTTTTTAAGCATTTCCATTAACAATATTAAGTTTACTATATGTTTGTATCTGTAAATAGTGTAATGTTAATCGTAAAGAGTTATCTATCTATCCATCTTAACCTATAAATTAACGAGAAGCAACTGTAAAGTTTATTGTGCTGCTAACGGTACCGAGCGGAGGTGCACAGTGGAAAAATCACCCCAATTTCCTTCACCGAGCCGCCCTCATTGTCGGCGAGCGAGGCCTGATAGAATTGTTATCGATGCCATCTTTAATTTCGCCACAGCAAACACCCGATACGCTGCGTAACTTACTACGGATTTATGGTAACAAAATGTAATAATGAAAGATCATTTTTTGTATTGCGAAAGCATAAATCATAGGATGTGATCGCCGCAATTGCCTTCTGTACTATGTTAATCTATTCCAATATTCATTATGGTACTAGACGAATATATGTTTAATGAATATAATTTAATAAATAATCGAAGAGATATACATAAAAAATAGTTTACCAAGCATTAGAGGAAATTCACCAAATATGGAAATATATAATATAATAATATTTATAATCCCTAATTTGGAATGTTAAAATTCCTTCATTATTCTAAATAAGGGAAAAAATGTTAAATGTAAATCCAGGAAATTCGCGATGGTTTAGGTTTTGTTTGGTATTTCAAAGTGTATCAAAATTTCTATAAAGAATAACTTAGAAAATAATTTCAATAGTCCATTTTAGGTAACTATTCCTTGGTTAGGTTAGGTCACGAAAGCTACTGTTAACCATTTTTATAATTTTACTGTTAATTTAAGCTAATGGAGAAGGCATACATTATTGTTGACGTTGTATTAGTATAAAAAACTCTGGATGAGTTTTACTTTAAAATATACCTTTATTCATAAAAGAACTTTTTTTGATCTCTTTAAATATATAATAGGCATATGAAATAACTTTAGAATGAGTGATAGAATAGTCATGGCAATATCAAGCGTAAACTAAAATACAGTAAGACGTATGAAAAATGATGATCGGTTCCACTAGATTGACGGCTCACAAATCAAAACTGCGAATCAATAAAAAAAAAATGAAAATAAAACAGCGTAGGAAGCCGGGCGCACACCACTGATGGCTTCTTGCAATAATTTCCGTCTTCAATGATCGCGTTTTTCTTTTTCTTATCACCGCACGAACTAGGATGGTTGGGAATAAATTGAAATACAAAATTGATTGTTGACTTTTCCCCGGCTGCTTTATTACTGTCACAAATAGGAAAGAGATTGAAAATTACCTACAGTGACTTTGACAAAGATTTGACGATTTTATTTCAGTATTCATGCCTTGTGTTTAATTATCATTTATGGATAACTGGCTAAGCAGACATTTTGCAAATTGTGTGAATAACTTATTAGTTTAAATAATTAATATAGGCTAGTCAAATAAAAAAAATGTATATAATAAAAATACGTATTTTACCGTTACGATGATAAATACCGTAGCATTTTTACGATCTATCCCCTGTTTACACTCCTTAATACTCAGTCAGGAGCAGTTAACGACAGTTGTCAGTTCTTCTTCTCCCTCGGTTAGAGAAAATGATCCCCGCGTAACGACCAGTATATGATGAACCTTTAAAAAACGCCGCTTAACCAAACTTATAACTGTATCGCACAATTTCTCACAACAAGAAATCTCTTTTTACGTTGGCCTGTATTCCCATGGTACCTACAGATTTTTATTCGAGTTTTAATTATCAAAGTTTTATGAACTGCTTATTTCTTTTTATGACATTGTCGAATTAATTATTTTTGTTTGTTAACTCTAATTATTACAAAAGCAAAGGCCGGGTTGATTCGGAGAAAATAAAATGTTTGAAATACCAGTAATCCTGCTTTGTTATGTTAAGAGAAATGTTGTGATATATCCACCTACTACTATTGTCATACTGCTTTTCTTGAGAAAAATACATTTATTAAGATATAAAATAACAATATTTTAACAGCAAAATATATTCAAGTCTGTTTGCCGAGTAGCAACGAGCAGGCGTACGTCGGAGATATCATCTAAAATAAATTCAAATATGGCCGCTTTCTATTCATTTCAATCGAGCGAGTTATTCACAATCCAACATTATCACGTCCGCTGGATATCATAAAACATTTTAAAGTTCTCAAAAGAGATATTGGTGCTGAATACCCGTAAACGTCTTGGGTACGTAAGTAAATTTAACTTTAAAATATGCATAACACTTTTCCGATGCGATCCCTATTCCGAATTTAAACACATCGAGTCGTATTAAGATACATTTCGATTCAGTGCGCTCGAAAAGTTCGGGAAGAAAATTCGCTTAAGAACGCCAGAGTTTCTGTATGAATGCTTCCGTTTATACAGTAACAGTGAATTGAATATAATTTTCTTATTGTAATTTCGAATTATTAATAAATTCCATAGAGAGAAAATAGCTATTAACTAGTGCATTATAAATTGTCAGCCTTTATTAAGGGGTGTTTAAACATCAAACTCGGTGGATGTTTATATTAATGAATATAATTGAATACTTATAAACAGCGTTGTTTATTTGTTGACCCGACTACGAATCAAAGCCATCTTAGAAATGTACAGATTGTAAGCTTACCTATAACTCTCTTAAACATTATTCAGATTTATAAATCTGTATCAAACACATCAATTTCCATATTAATGTGTTTGATTGTTAATAAAAATGTATAAAAAAATATGGAAATAATACTCATCTTAGGGCCGAGATTACCAACTTTTTAAACAACTAATTCTTATTTAGCTAATAGAAGATGTTTTTGTGTTTACCAACGGTTAAACAAGTTAAAAAGAGGTTGTAAAATTACCTTCATGACCAGGAAAGACATTGATGACTGATTATAGTTGCAGTGTTACATCCTATAACTAAGTTTGAGAGTGAAGTTTTCAACTATGACGAAGTTTTCTGAATAAGTAGAATTAAGTACGGTGGCAGCTTAGCGCCTCCGCAGCTTGCTCTAATAGTATTAACAAGTTTCCAGACCGTATTGAGCGAATATTTGTGCACAAGATTGTAGGTAGGTATTATCAAAACAATGTTCGACAAAAGGTAAAATATTTTTTTTGCATTGGACAACAATCACTTGGAATAACAAAACATTGTCTATTATGGAATATTTTGACACCTACAAGGAAAAACATGAAGACGGCAGTGGTAAGCGCGTTTGGTCTGCGATGTGTAGGTTAAGCAACTTTTGTAAGGGTCACTCAAAGGATGGGTGACCAAAAAATTTATTGTATTGAGTTCCTTTGTGTTTTGTGAGACACGTTAAGCCGTTAGTCTCGTGTGCATCTGCAATCGTTAACGCACAACAATACGCATCTTTGGCTGACTGGTGGGTTGTAGTTGGTTCTCCCTTTTAAATTTCATTCGTTTGGAAGGCTTGTGACCGAGCAGTGGAGACAATAACATGCTGACGATGAACTAAAGTATTTAAAATTAGTTTGAGGAGAGTCAGTTGCAGTAAAAATGTGGAATGGTTTGCCGAATATTCCTAAGTTGCTTGCGTTATATACAGGTATATATAAAACTTAAAAAAAGCGGGAAATAATACTTAACTTAAAAAAGCAACTTAATTATTCAAAAAGCTCCCATTGAATGATAACCGGCCGTTTTTTGAATAATTAAACGGCAAAATACCTAGTTTATAAAATATTATTTTGTAAAACGATCATCAATTTGTAGAAAAAGAAGTTAACAATTATACATAAAAACATACATCGCAGTCGAACATATAACCTCATCCTTTTCGGTCTTGAAGTCTGTTAGATACTTTAAAGAATTGATAAATGTTATGGGTTTTTCCTTATGGCCAGCAAGTTCTTGTTAAATTTACTTACAAAGTTTTCTTTGCAGGTGTTAATTTTCTTTGGATTATGATTATGATAATGTTATCAACACTTCTAAATTATTGGATTTGCAGTCCAACAGATATTAAGAATGTTGACTGGTGATAATTTACCAAAAAAGGCGCGATGATACGTTCTACTATTCTACAAGTTTATTTTGCAAATTGGCTTATTTTTATAAGCGTCAATATGGACGTTCTCAAATACGTTTGAATACTTAAACAAGTTTTTGTTACCTACCTACTGTAATTAAAATATTAGTCGCTTTGTACTAAGAAGAAATTAGCATATTGGGTGGCAGTGGTGACGGTATAATCCCGAAGGATCGGACGGGACGGAACAAATTTACATTCCTGCAAGTCGCGGTTAAGTACACTTAACTTCAAGTCTGTGAGCCTCAAATAATTTGTAACAAAGTTTAAAGACACCAAAGTGTATAATTTTATGCAAGTATATTTTATTTTATGTAAATTTTTCTATATTGCATTACAGAATTTTACAAAATAATGTTCATGTTTTATTATTTTTACTCAATTTTGCATCCACTTGCTATTTTATTATACATTTTTTTACGAATTGATATATATAAGCAACGCTAATAAAACCACAACATTTATTATTAAATAATAAATTACATTAAGCAAATAAAAAGAAAAGCACTAAATAAACTTTGGAAATAACAGATGTTCCTCGGAGCACCACTCTTCTTCACTTTGACCTTAACATCTTGACGTTGAGCTTCCACACTAGTTGTTCTCTCAATCTTGTCGTCTCCCTCCACCATCTTTTCTCGTTGTGGGTATTTTTCTTTCGGCCAGGACGTTTGTTGCGTTTGGTCTGTAACTGGTTCAGTTTTTGTTGTCGCCAATGTTGTAGTGGGCGATTTTTCTGTTGTTACCTGTACAGTGGTTTGAGTGGTTGCGACTGAAGATGTGGACACAACAAAAACATCATCGAAAGACAACGATTCGCTAGTAGGTGAAGGCATAGTGATCTTTTCGGTTAAAGTGAAAAGAGAAGTTGACTCTATTGTGGTTTGCGGGTCATCAGAAGTGGTTTCATATTTTTTAGCATCGTCATCCTTATTCATTACAGTGCACATATTGGAACATTCTTCTTCATTGCATTTATTTTCGATGCCACAGATAATGAAGTTATCCCATGCTGACAGGTCTTGATAAAGGTGTGGTTGCTTACAGTTACTATCTATATACGTTTGTATGCCAGTGACTTCATTATCGCACACGAGGGGCCCTCCGCTATTTCCCTGTAAAAAAATAACTGTATTTAGTATCAGTAATCACACTTCAGTTTCGTTTCAGAAAATAGCCTTGCCAGTTTGACAGCCCTCTAACCTTAAATTTTAAATAAAATAACTCACTTGACAGAATTCTGAATCATTCACTAAGCTTTTGTATTCTGCATTGTCGGTTGCGCATAACATAGTGTCTGGATAGTAGTGGCTACCACAGTCTTGTGACAACGGTGGCTGTAGTTCGACAAAGTGCTGCATTAATTGCCTTTCTGCAGTCCAGTTGCTAACCCGTCTCTGGAATCATCAAACAGTTTACATTAGATATCAACAGATGCATTGCTGAGATCCAAAACTAAATAGTAAATAGTTCTAGTGTTATCCAAGCTAAAATTGGAAAGGTACAGCAACCCTCAGCTTCCAGATAATATCGAGAAATTATCTTTTTTACAATGATTAAAAATCGGATCTTAGACAAAGCGATTAGCGATACCATGAAATGGATGTGCGAGTTACTCGACCACAGAGGACGACATTATGAACTGGTAATAGAGTAGCAATGGTGATACTTCTCTGAATGTAAATTGCGAGTGAAGTGAGTCCCACTAGCTAAGCCAACTGCACTCCCTGCATCTTCCACCAGAGCGGCTTAGAAGCATACATTCATAAGTATCGCTTCATACGTAGTGTATCTTTGATTATGGTAAATGTATTTTTCTTGAATAAGATACACACATACACAGCAAAAAATTATAACCGGGTTACAAATTTTAATGAATTCGTTAACCATATTCTGTTTTTTATTCTATTAACATCGGATAAACCGAAGAAAAAGACGTCTATAAATTCGTTGCTTTTGTTGTTGTTAATCATTAATATAATAAAACAAAAGGTCGAAAAAAAATTCTTCATAAGGTTAAAGGCATTTGGAAACAAAACGAATTTGAGTACTATAAAACGTTTGTCGTTATACTACAGCAATTCAAAATTTAATCATTCCACCTCTTGTACTTAAACAGCCGTGTTTTTAGCCGTGAAAACCTGCTCAGACACGATCGTCGAGGGAATTACTCTGAAGGAAAACTTTCTATTATATAAAAATGAAGCAATATGTACGTACTGAATATATCAAAATGAAGCAATTGGTGATATTCATGGAGGATTTCATACGCAGTGTTCCCACGCCTACGGTCGCAGTCATATTGAACGGCAACAACGTCTTCAACAAGGTGATGTCAGTGCGCCACCATTGAGTTGCACTTTGGTTATAAGGCCGCACTATTTGGATAATCTAAATAAAAAACAACCATTTAATTGTACAAACGTCCTTTAAGGTTTAATGACGGCTTTAAACTCTAATGAATATCATATTTGTATCGGTAATGTCGCTTTATACTAATGACAACTGCTGAATGTAAGAAAGATTAAGCCATTATGGTTATTATTTTTAACAAGGTTTTATCAGAACAATGGCGTAATGCGCTTTGGAGGAGGTGCCTTGGATTAAAATTAGTTGGGAGCCCAGGTCACAATTTTTGGTTAATCTCACTGGGAGCCATATTAGTCTAGGGCCCTTATTATTGACACGCCTGATACGACGATAGCTACATCCGTGCATTAGAAGGAAGAAAGCAAAAGATTGCCTTCGTAGCGACGAACTCCTTAGTAAATATGTATGTCAGCTATAACTGGACTCAGGTTTGATTGGTTATAATATATTTTTTAAATTATATGATGTTTCTTAGCATTTCATGAAATTACCGTCACGAGTATTCTTAGTAATAGGACAGGTACTGAAAAACTACTAAAGTTATTAATTTTTGTAATCACAATACTACACTGGAAAAAAAATTATTAATGAAAAATGCTTCTACTTTTTCTCTACTATAGTAATAGGTACTTAACAAGACATTTCAACCTTGTCACTATACAATATTATTATCGTGTACTTAATATGATATCACGAAAAGATGGGCTGATTGAAATTCAAATGACATGTTATATCTTCATGAGAATAAAATTCCTAAAAAATTTATTGTTCTTGAAATAATTAAACCAATTTTTGTTCTTTTAATATTATTTAAATTTGATTATGAATAAATATATACCTCTCTCTCTTGCTCATCTTCATCCTCACTGAGTGTAAATTTGTAATCAATTGTGATAGCACCAAGTCTAGCTAGTAGTGTTTTGCGAGGAAATCCAAGCGGTATGTCGTTTATAGTGATCGGTCCAACAGATGAAGTGATCAACCAGTCCGGTTTCACCAGGACAGCTCCCCGAACGAAACGAGCACCAGACGGTTCTACGACACTCTCTTCTGGGTAATATAAAAAGGCCTGGAAATGTCCAATAACTAATAAAATTTTTCATAAATTATAAATTATAGCTGTAATTTACTGTTTCATTTTATTTAATAAGAAAACTTTGAAAATGTCAGATGACTACATAAATAGAAATACTGCCGACATGTTATTTTGAGGTATTATAGATTTAAAAACATGTTAAGAAAATGAAAGCATAAATCTTACCATGTATGGGTAAACTCCTCTTTTAATTTCATTATCACCTTCGGCTAATACTCGGTCATACAAAAATAAAACTGAAAAATGTCGACCACTGTTAAATATCTCAAAGACAGTTACAATTCTATCTGAAAAACGAATATGATAACTTACCACAACACAGTGTTAGCAAAACACTTTTTTTCATATTTATCAAGATAGAATATAAATATTATATTTAGAAATTAATTTCGTGACATGCACGGCCTCTTCTGGCATGTCAGATTTCAAAAGCGGAATTAACAACTTTTTAAATAGTGACTCTTTCTCACCAGGACAGGTGAGTAAAGAGGAATGTTGTAAAACGGCTCTAAACTCTTTGCGAGGAGAATAATTTAAAAGTGCCATTACTCTTTTACCTTTCGGTGTCATAAAAAGCGAATTAGTCGAGTCACGTCCCTTTATTTTTCTCCGTTATCTCTGACAAAGTTGCACCGACTTAAGCTGAACACATTAATCAGAACCGCATCGGAGCTGAGACGTATTATCCTCAATAAAGCGAAAAAATGACTAAGCGAATTCAAACGCATGTTACGACGATAAAAACAGGGATAAATCGGGGAAACACCTAATTATTCATGCAAGGGGTGTTTAGGAACTTGTATTAATAAGCTTCAAGCGATGTTAACTTTGTGAAATATGCGGAGTTTATTATAAAAAAAGTGTCGCTCATTTTAAATACTGTGGACGAGAACACGATTTGGGCGGACGGCTTAGCCGTGTCTTAGACGATTTAAAATAAGATGTAAGCTCAAAAGTAAAATACTTGTTTTAAAATAACGGCTATATGGTTTGCAGCAGTTTTTATAAATTGACGGAAATAAATGTACTGAATATTTCAAATCAATAAATTACGGCAAAACATTGAGTTGAAATGTCTTTTTTTTACCCAGGCATTATCTCTTGATACTTATATAATAAAGTCAAGTTCAAAGAGCCAAAACTACAAGTCTATAATTGGTCTATAGACTTACTGACAGACTATATAGTTTTTTTTTCTTATCCAGTCATCATCCCAATTTTAACTGAAAAAATATAATGTCATAAAAATATAAATGGTACTTGATTAGTATAAAACCTAAAACCGTTAACGGGTATTTCAAAATCACCATGATTACTTAGTTACATTAACGATTAGGGTTTCACGTCGTTTGAAAGAACTAACACTGTAGTATTTGTGTCGTATAACCCACAAATGAACGTGGAGATTGCACCCAAACTGCTGATGCGGCGACCTCAGAACGACTTGTTCAGACGACTATAACATGTCCAGACTCGCTAGACCTCTCCTAATACTCCGACTTTCTCCTCAATACTTTAATTTGGTGCGAAAATTAAGGGTGTTGGAGATCTGAGAGATTTGGTTTTAGCGTAACGGCTCGAATGAACGAGCTACGTGTTTTGGCGGCTTCCCGCAATTGCTTTACACTTCCTATGAGTAGCCCATCTTTAAGTTTCTAACGATTTTTAAAACCATTAATATTCTATTTTTATTTTTTTGCGCCCTATAAGAAATTTGTTAAAGGAATAATTATCACTACATAGTAGGTATAAAACAAAGTCACTTTCTCTGTCCCTATAGCTCTATGTATGCTTAAATATTTAAAACTACGCAACGGATTATTTTTTATAGATAGGGTGATTTAAAAGGAAGGTTTTTATGTATAATACAAGACCACGCGGGCGAAGCCGCTGGCGGAAAGCTAGTTAAATAATAAACTAGCTTTTCGCCAGTGATTTCGAACACGTGATCTCTAGGTTTGGATATCGATTTATATCATGAAACGGATATTACAATAACTAATAGAGATGACGACTAATTTTTGTTTGGTTGTCCGTCAGATAGATTCATGAATAATATTAAATACGTATTTGTTTTTATTTTTGCATAATCAATGAATCACGGTGATACATTGAGTTGAAATGTCGCATGACGTCACGCTTTTGTATATTTTCTATAAAACTGTGACGTAGCGAACCCCCACTTCTTAACTTTAATACCTATTATGTAAGCCATTTCTTGTTTAAATTGAAGCAAATAAATATGTATCTAATATTTTTCTGTTATCTGACTGACGGACTAAATCGATTTTCTTTAACGCAAACAATGGGTTATTCTTTATATAAACTTCCAATCCCATTTCATTCCTGTTTGCTGTGTTTAGGTATAAAATATAGCCTATGATAGCCGCATACGATGTATGTAGCTTCCTGTAGGTGAAGAATGTTTAAAATGGTTCCACTAGTTTCGGTACATAGTAAATATTAATATATAAATGTCGAGTGAGTAAATACATATTGCACCGACGCGAATAAACAAATGGGACAAAGGCAAGCAAATATATTTTTAGAAAATCATTCAAAATTTAATATTAAACAACATTAAATACATTCGTCAGATTCCAAGATGAGTAGTTAAAGCCCCCGTATTATGGAGTATCTGAGAAAACGAAAGCATCACAACACCCAGACCCGAGGCAATATAGAAATGTTCATTTTCTACATTGACCTGACTCGGAATTGAACCCTCAGAGATGGCGACACCTTGAAACCGGCGTGCGATTTTCAAAACAATTAATAATATATACTATTTATTCCACACAAAAATATACATTAAAATTATTACATATATCAAATGTTAAAATTATATTAAAATAATTCTATATCTGTAGATTTCGGGGTAAACTAAGGAGTCTATGATTTTTACATTTTTATTCGCGCGAATCCAACTCGCAATAGGCTTGTGTCCTACAATTGAAAATACAGGTTTCTGTTATATGTTCGTAAAATATGAAACATTTTGACTTATAAATATTTAACAAAATGAATTTTATGACACTTATTTGGAAAATATGACGCTTTGAAGACAAGAAAAAAGTAGGGAAAATATATTAACAAAATTTGCTGAAACACATATCGCACCCCCGGTGCGACACTGTCACTTTTGCAAAAAATACAAAAATTAGTTAAATATGTAATAATTGTCCTAAAGCCCCCTTTACTTGGTGCGATAATGTTACTTTTGTAGATGAATCGTACGGAACTATGTTCCGTATGATTCATCTCATCTGTATCTTCTAAAGTCATTGTTTTGTGAGGTGACAGAGTTTAAAACTCTTCTCCTGAAAAACAAAATTTTTGCATAAGTGACAGTGTCGCACCGGGAGTGCGATATGGCATTAAATTAGTTACATAAAACGTAACAAATGTCATTAAGACAGCTAAAAACCTAAATAGACAAATAACATATATATTACAAAGAAAGACAAGCTGTTAATGGACTATTTATTTTTAAAATAAATGAAAAGTTGTCTACAAGCCTATTTTTTAAAATATAAATTATCATTTATGATGTACTAAGAAAAAGCGGGTCTTTTCAGTTTCATTTCTTCCACAGTGAACTAGTCAACGTGAAGTAGCGGAGCTAACCCGCCGTCTGCCTCCTGGGGCCTATCGTCCCGGAATGGTAATGGGGCTGCAATGCCATTCAAATTTTATTTTATCGCACACCTAATATGAACATTGGCTGTTCGGGCCCGTCCTTACGAATACCGTTGTGGGATTTAACTGGAATTAGTAACTTGTAATGTAATAAGGTAACATCATACTGTTTTGTTTTCCAAGTTCTGATATGGCAATTACATTTTTAAATGAAATAGAATAAAGGTTATAGTTATTTTATTTATTGTTCAGATTCATAATAAATTGTATGTTTTATTTACGTTAAGCAAATGTTTGTGAATTTTCAGGGAAATTTGATATATATACACAATATTGGAGCCCCATTAATAACGTAAAAAAATTGGCTGACATAACAGTTATATTTCAATTTTTTTTTTAATTTTTTATTTTTTCACTCACTTGATATAAGTAAAGTTTAGTACAGTTTTGATATTGACAACATGTTTGAAAGATTTTGTTTGATAAGTCAGGTTTAATAGTATTATTTTCAATTTCTTGAAGCTTTATCGTATTTATTGATTTACTGAATCATATTAAAACGCTTTTTTTTTACATTTTGCACAATCTAATGCCGTCCTGAATAGTAAACAGTTCAAGTATTAGAAAATTAATGCTACAATTCGAAAGTTTGTCAAAGCTCGCGCACTTAAATGAATGTTTAACATTATCTGCAGAGTTTTAAGACTCTTGAGCCTCTTAAACAACTCGCAAAGAAACTTTAATAGAGAGGTTTTCGGGCGATTAATTCCAGAACGTGGAAAGGTGGACGGGAATGCCTAATGGGAAAGGGTGACTTGAGCTTTGTACAAATACGATTTTATATATAACAAAAGGTCTGACACTAAATTCAACTAACGTTATACTAAATATAATAATAGTAAAGTGAAAATCGATAAAAATATATTTAATATTAATAAAACTAGACGTATTTTTTTTGTGACCGATAGGTACAATAGTGACTCTTAAATGTAAGACCTTCATGTAGGGTATGCAACAAAGATATTAGTAGTAGCTATTGAATTAATCACGAAAAAAATTCATATTCATAATAAAATATTTTCACATATGATATAAAATTTATTAAGTATTTAATTAATCGGAATATCCCAATAACGAAAGTGTAAAGTTGACGACTGAATATAAGTTGATTGGCGCACAATCCGGCGGCATTGTTTGACGCGAACATTTTCCGATGCTCTTCCGCATCCATTGTGCACAATTTTATTGAATTTGATTTACGTGCCAATTTTTGTAGGCTTCGGTTTTTATTAACTGACCTCGACGCCGCTGTAAACTTAATTGAATCCGTTAACAAAAGGCATCGAATGAAAAGAGCGTCCAACGGTGTGCGATGCAGATTATAATGGGGTTTTCCGAATTTGCATCGGGCTTTCAATAACTCGATATTCGATATTCGCACTGTGGTTCAACTATTGTTTTTAAAACACCGGATATTGTCGATCTTTCTAATTTATAACGCCCGTCTCCCCATCGTTCTTCTTAGAATATTTTACGAGACAATTATATCTGCTCTCTTGTTGTAACTGTGTCGAATGTTGGTTCTTCCTCAAATTTTATACAATAAAATGGAATTATACGCAGAAAGACCGTAATCTGAGTTAATTATCAGAAATTCAGTCGTATTAACGTCGTTTCTAAACGAGTTTTCACAATTGGAGTGGAGTCAAAAGAGCTTTCTAAAGGAATCGCAAACACAATTAGGAGCAAGTTGTTGTTTGTTGAAATTGTCAGGGAAAGAGTGTACATGACACGCTGCCCTGCACACAAATGTGCGTATCTGATATTTTGTCAACTCCTGACAGTCAGTCTACAGTAAATTATTTTTTAATCATTGAAAATAAATTAATTGACTCTTAATTACACTA